ACGCATGCCCCTGCAGCAGAGCCGCTTGTGTCTGCGGGATGCTGCCGGGGGTGAGCACAGCCGCATTCGGCAACCACCCTGTGCCAGAGCTTCTCTACTTGCGGCACGTTCCCAACTCAGCGTGCGCACCCACCCACCTGTTCCGGGTGCTGCCCCACAGCCTCAGCCCATGCCATGGGGCACTGAGCTCCTGCTGCCCCGAGGAGCGGCCAGAGCCGAGGGAGGGACCGTCCCCACCTTCCAGCTCGGCCATGGTGGCATCTCGCAGGCTGGCCTTGCCGAGCGCAGCCGCCGCCTCCTCGCACAGCACTGCTGCCGGCGCGTGGGATACTCGCTGCCCGTCAGCGTGTGCCGCACGTTGGAGTTGGTGATGAGGACGGCCAAGCTGGCATCGGTCAGCGGGACAAGGACACTCTCCAGGGACCTGCAGCGAGAGCTCAGTGCGGGCCACGTGCCCGTCCCCCCTGCCCGCTCCAGCCCTCAGCCACCCGGGTGAGGCCATGTGGCAGGCAGCTCCTGACTCCGCCAAGTCCAAGTGCTTTAGGAGTTTGCTCCCTTCCAATTTTTAGTCCCATAATAGACCCTAACAGCTTTGTGGGAAAGACAGCCCAGGCAAGTAAGCAGAAAGGATGCAGGAGGAGGAATCCAGACACAGGAATTAAAACACAAGGGCTGGTTTCAGGGGTTAATCCCTCCGTGCACTCCCACATTTATTTCATAGCCACTGGACCAGCTCATCCCCACCTGCCCGACGTGGGCACAGCACAGTGAGCTCAGTGCTCAGCCCTGACCTGCAGTCAATGAGCAGCGCGTGGCCTTCCTTGCCCATCACGGATATGAACTGGTCCATGATCCCACAGGGCATGCTGGCAAACGTGTGCTCTGCTTTCTGGCACGCCAGCGCCTTGGCTACCAAATCACCGTCATCTGTGCCAGAGCAGAGAGATGCAGGTTAGCAGCTCTGGGACCTTGGCCCCTGGAGCAAACACGAATGTAAAGGGTTGCTTTCCCATGGAAGGGGGTTTTGCTAAAGCATCAGCTGCAGGTGCTTGCTCCTGCACTAGCATCTGTGCCAGCATGGGTCCCCAGATCCAGCTGGATGCGATAATTTGACATTGGTGTCTCAGATCTCTCCATTTTTGAGGACATAAGGGCAGGGAGAAGATGCTCCCAAGGGAACATCCTCTCATCCCCCTGGGCAGTGCCAGGGATGGTCCATGGGCTTTAGAGGTGTGGGCAGGTCAGGCTGGCTGAGCTGGAGGAGCCCCGCAGCCACAGCGGTGCCAGCTCCAGCTGCGGCAGAGGGTCGTGACCCACCCCACAGTGGTGTTTCCCCAAGGGCTGCGGGATCTTGCTAAGGGCACCCCCCTCATCCCGCCTCCCACCCGGGAATGGAGGGACCAGGGACCAGGACCGGCTGCTGCCTTACCAGGGCAGAGCTGCTGGAGGAAGGTGTAAGTAGCCACCTCCAGAGCGGCCGAGCTGGAAAGGCCCCCACCCAGGGGGATGTCACTGGCTATCACGGCGCTGAAGCCCGGCACGGGACCACCTGTGGGAACAGAAGGGAGAAGGGGGATTGTGAGCCCCTGCAGGGCTGGGGGCTACCCTGCCCCACAGTTCGTGGTGAACTGATGGAATAGAGCCCCTGTCCAATATCCCATTTTAAAATGCAGGGTGACCCACGGCACAGTGTGACCCGGGCATCCCAACCCCCAAACACAGGGGTCTTTGGAGCTGAAAGTGTCTCTGCTGGAGCCTGGTTTTGCACCAGCGCTGGAAGAGCCCCTGGAGCACACCAAAAGCCAGGCACAGAGCACCAGCCCGCACGAGGGGGTCTCTAACCCACCCGGCAGCCTGGGCCTTACCCCGGTAGTGCTGGATGACGCCCTTGACGTAGTTGACCC